TCATTTAAGCTTTAAGAATTCCCCTTAAGCATGTAATTTCAGCTGGTTGGGAGGCCTGCTGCTCCAGGTACTGAGAAAGGTGAGGCAGAAGTGCCATAAGGAGAAGGCCTATCTGGACCACACACTAAGTTGAAGCTACCCTGGGAAAGACTCTTTAAATATAAGTTTTGTGGAGGGCTGGGGATGTGGCTCAGTGGTGGAGTATTTGCCTAGCATGTAGAAGGTCCTGAGTTCAATCTACAGTGAAGTGGAGATGAGCATTTCAGCATTTCTGTTAAGGCAAATGTGAGAATGATCAACTCCGTCTGCTTTCATTTGTCTGGATAGCATTTATTCCTTCTGGAGAACTTACAGAGATGGGGTGTTTGGGGCTGGCAAGATTTCATTGTTGTTGTTTCACTCTTTTTTTCTGAGCACTTGAATAAATAGTGTTTCTCTGGCTCTTCATGCTGCCTGAAGAGATAACTGCTTGGAGTAATGAGTGTGTGTGTATTGTCTTGTACAGATGTACAGACAATTAACTTGTCCCACTTTTAAAAGTATCTCTCTCTATTTGACTTTTGGTATTTAAATTAGAATTGCCTCAGAAAAAAATTACTTTGGGATTGAATCACTTTGGGACTTTGTGTTTCCTAAATCTAGGTGTTCCTATCTCTCCCAAAACTTAGCAGGTTTTCAACCATTATTCTTTAAGTAGGTGGTCTACTTCTGCCCTTCTCTGTTTCTGAAACTCCCATAATATAACCATTGGTTCCTTTGATGTTTTTTATTCGTTTCATATGCTTTCTTATTACATTATCATCCTTACCCGCCCCCCACTTACTTTTAAAAGATTGTAGTTTGGGAAGATGGCCCATTTGATAAAGTAATTGATGTGTAAGCATGGAAACCTAGGTTTGGATTCCAAATATCCATGTAAAAAGCCAGGAACAACTTTATGTACTAGTACTCCAAGCTCTGAAGAAACAGAGACAAGCAGGTCCCTGGAGTTGCTGGCTGGCCAGCATTGTTGAATCAGGGAGCTTTAAGTCTAGGGAGATGTCCTTTCTCAAAAAATAAGGAAGAAGTGCCTGGAAAAATGACACCACAGTTGGCCTGTGGCCTCCTCATACATTTGCAGCTATGTGCATGTGTACTTGCACACACATATGCCTTACCTACACACATGAGCACACACATACACACACACACACACACACACACACACACACACTCCCATCCTCAAGTTCACAAGGTACTTGTTCACAGGTATTTCCTACTTATTCTGCTACTGAAACCTTTTTATGTTTGTCTTTCTATTTTTCAGCTCTAGAATTATAAGATGATTTCAGTAAGGCTCTCACTCCCCTGCCCCACTTGCTGAACTATCTGTGTTCTCACATGCTTTTAGAAGTTTCTGTAAAGTTATTGTTTGGGGGAGTGGGGAGATGGCTCAACTGATAAAGTGCATACCATACAAGCACCAGGACCCAAGTTCCATCCCCATTACCCAATAAAAGCTGAGTACAGTGGTTCATGCCCGGGGAGGCAGGAGCAGGAGAATCCCTGGGACTTGCTGGCCAGCAGTTTTTGTGAAATGTTGGTAGTGTCTGAGGGCTGGCAATTAAGGTTGGTATTTAGCCTCTACATGCATGTGCATGCGAATACCCTACACACACACACACACACACACACACACACACACACACACCCCTCATACACATACCCATACAACCATACTAAAATTAATTTTGGATTATTTCTCAGATAACTATTCTTTGAAATAACTTGCTTGCTTATTATTGCAACAGCTTCTTACTTTTTCTTTTAGTTGTCTTGCATTGATGTCTGCATTTTAGAGAGCAAGTTTCTTCATCCATCCTTTTCTAAGTAGGTACAGTGAGGGGAAACTTACCTGTGGGTGGTTGCAAAGGTACTAAATAGATGGGGTAGAGAAACTTATGTTCAAGAAGGATACACTAGTATAGTTTCCATGCTACCTCTGATGGCTAAAGTCTACCTTGGTGAAGACTTCAGGAATCTTTGACTGCCAAAGTTTCCAATATCTGCAATAGCAATAGCATTTAAAGCTCATCAAATTCTAGAAGGCTCCTGGTTTCCACTTGCTTTCTTTCATGCACAGGAATTCCCTCTTTTCAGGTCTAAAGTGCTGGCATACATACAGTAGTGTGGTGGCAGTATTTGATATGGAAGTGCTCAGAGCAGCAGAGAGGCCAAGATACTGTGAAGGGAGGCACACAGGATTGCTATGACAACTGGGGCACAATCATAGTTGATTGGGCAGCAACCCTAGTGTATAAAGCATGACCTCAAGATCATCCACAGTGCCTGAAATGGGTTGTGATTATTTGGACATGGGAAAAAGAGACTGAACAATATAACAGGTTCAGGGATAAGAGGTAAAAGTGGGTCACAGCCAGTGCTGGATACAGAACCCCAGCATATGATGCCCCAGTCATAACCAAGACCCAGTGAGACCCAGCCAATTATTTACTTATGAATACTCAACTGATCCATCATCATCTATTAAAAACTTACATTTTCCTTTGCATTCCCTTTGCCCTTTTGTCGAACAGCAGCCTATAATGAATGCATGATATTGGAGGTGATAATCTCCAGCAGTTCTCTTATTACTCAGGATTATTTTAGTTATCCTGGGAGATTTACGTTTCCATATGAAGCTGTAAATTGTCCTTTCAAGTTCTGTGAAGAATTGTGTTGGAATTTTGACTGGGATGCATTGACTTTTTAGATTGCTTTTGGTAGGATTGCCATTTTTACTATATTAATCATGAACATGGGAGATCTTTGCACCATCTGATACCTGCAATTTCTTTCTTCAATGTCTTAAAGTTTTTATTGTTTAAGTCTTTCGCTTGCTTGGCTAGAGTTACCCAAGATTCCTACAGGCTAAGTAGTCTTAAAGTTATATACTTTATAAATCTTTTAACTTTTCTCCAATTTTTGAAACTATTCAGATTGCTCTTAGACCTTTATATTTCCATAAATATGTCATATGTTGTATTTTTAGTTTTTTTTAAATAAACTAAGTCTACTAAGATTTTGTTTCTGAATTTGGAGGCATATGTTTTGTGCCTAAAGGTTTTCTTGCTCTTAAATATAATTTTATATTAACTTTATCTTATTATTCTTTTATTATATGTTATCTCCAGCTTTTATGTTACATTTAAAAATTGCTGAAGACTAGATATAGTTGGTTCTCAATTTATCCACTCATGTGATCTCTCCCTGTATTTGGACTGCTTTTATCATTTTTGTGTGTGGTCATCTACCTATTTGGGCATTTTCATTTTTGTTTTTCTGTTTGTTTCATTTGTTTTATAGTGTTCTTTCTTTTCTTTCTATTGAGTACTAGGTATAATTTACTTTTCCATTTTGAAAGTTGTGTATTTAACTTATTTTCTATTTATGTATGTGGCACAATACCCCTTTGCAAGAGTTTGAGAAGTTCACAAGAGTGTACTTTTGTTCCCTCCAGTTCCTTGTACTATGGTTTCATAAATTCTGCAACTACACCATATGAACTCCAAAATATTTTTTGTTTCCCTGTTTTAAATTGTCAGTTTTATTTTCAAGGAATGAGAAGAGTTTTTAATAATAGTCCTCATGTTTCACATTTCTTATGCTCTTCATAGATAAAATTTTTATTCAGTGTTATTTTTCTTCTCACTAAAAGACATTGTTGTTGTTTGTTGCACTGTTCTGTTAGTGTTGAATTGCCCTGTTTGATCTCATGTCTGAAAGCTATCCCATGGAGAAAAAAAGCAATGTCAAAGAGACAAGTGTTGGGAAGAAAGATTTTTGGACTTCTTAGTTGTTTTTGTTTTCTCCAGTGACCAAAGGATGGAAAAGTGAAAGCTTTACTTGTAGTTCAATTTCTCAATTCCAAGAATTGAGAAATTGCAAACATAGTAAAAAGGAGGAATATTCATGTTTTCTCTAGAAATCATTTCAATAGGTGGAAATTTTACAGGAATTCAGGCACTATCTCTTGTCATTGATTTCTGGTCATGGTAACTGATTAGTGCATTTTTTCCCAAAAGATCTTGCCATCAGGTTGTGGAGAGAAATCAATAAGCATAGCAAGACCCTGTGGTGTTTGTAGGTTTTTAGCTAGACAGCATTGTTGTAAATGGGCAGATATGGGACTTTATATATATTTAATGGTTCAGGTAACCAAAATGCCTGCCTAGTAAAGTTGCTTTAATTAATCAACTAGTTAATTAGTCAAATTATGTTTTTAATGAACAAAGATGAGAGGAATAATTTTTCATAAATAAAGCTGTATTTCTTTATATCTACTATGATATCAAACCCTAGATATATGCCAAATTTAGTAATGTGCACCCTTGTCTCCTGGGAGACAAATGTAGGAAGATTATAGTTCAAGGAGGGCCTGGCTACCTAGGGAGTCCCTGTTCTAAAAAAGGAGGAGGAGGAGGAGGAAAAGGAAAATAGAGGAGGAAGAAGAAGAAAGGGGAAGAAGGAGGGGGAATATGAAGGAATAAAGAAGAAACAGCAGCAGCCAAAAGAAGGATAGGAAAAATAGGCTAAAGGGAAAAATGATTAATTTGGAGCAAAATAATCACAATCTTATTTGCAAAGCCATTGGCTGTTTACCTAAGCATCTGTGTCTATTTAGTGTGCCTGTTTCTTGACCTATGACTCCTTTGTACAGGAAAAAGGATTTATGTCATTCTGTAAAACTATAAAATCAAGTTAAAGACGAGTTCCTAATCACAGCTTAAATGATAAAACTTGAATTGAAGTATGATCAAAGGGCATCTCTATTTTTTACAGTAGTCATGGTTAGTATACTCTATCTACCCTAGATATAATGGACTTGCTTCCTGACTCTAAAACAATAATCACTGCCTCATGTCCCCAATCTTAGATTATTTTCCAGTAATTTTATATTAAATTAAAGATAAAATAGTCATGCTTATGATATATTTTGGTTCTGTTTTTCCTCCTCTCAGAGTTGCATTTGGAAACTGCACTGGGTTGGTTGTAGTGGATTTCATACAGAAGACAGTACTATTAAGTATGGGAACCATTGACCTCTATAGATCAAGTGACCTGTACCAGCGACAGCCCCGATCTCCTCGAAAAAACAAGCAGTTCATTGCAGGTAGGAAACAAATTAGATGGGTTTTGACCTCCATTTGTTCACTTGCTTTCTTTCAGATTGTCTTTCTTGCATGATAACATTCAAATGCATGGTAATACTGACTCAACACGTAATAAGAAGCAGCAATAATCTTTGAACAGGAATGAGCAGTGCTTAAAGTTCAGTTTGCTGTTGAAGTTAGGAAGCATCTTAAGTTTCTTAGGTTGGATTCCTAAGAAAAACAGAAAATAAGGACCTATTGATATGAAAATTGGGACTCTGATTAAAAAGCTGTTTTAAAAAATTTGGACTAAACAGTTTGACTTTCCTCCAATATCTTTAAGCCCTTTCAAATACAGTTTAAGGTCATGAATCACTTTTCATTTTTTCAGTAACTATATTGTGGCCATCATTTTTTTTGCTGATGATGACTAAATTGGACATATGTGTATAAGCATAATAAATACCATTCTCTGATATTTTAAATTCTATGAAAGATGGTAATTTTTCTTAGAAGGACTAGCAAATTAATTTAACTATAAGAGGAAATAAATTTAAGGTTTAATTAGGATGTAATACCAAATTTTGACAGCCTGAATTGTCCAAAATTTTATAGGAATTTCAGTATAAATACAAATAAGTGGCTTTAACATCCATAAATTTTGTGTTTTTATTATCTAGTTGATTAAAATTGGCTTAAAACTTTGCTTCTATAGTGTTACGCGTTTAGATAGTGCTTTTTCATTTCCTTATTTTACCAATAATTACTGAATATTGAGACCTTTACTAAAGATACTCATAAAAAGAATATTTTATAATATATGATAGTTGTTATTTTCCAAATTGCAGATGGGTTAATTTTAACATTAAATTAATTTCCCATTTGTACTAATGGTGTTTGATTGACATCCTTCTTTGTTAACTATTATTTTTAAACTTTAATGCTTGCTAATTTAGATCCTTTGCAGAGGCACAGCATTTGTCCTTCAGAACTTGCCAGGCTTCTGTTTGGGATCTCAGCTTTCAGGATTATTTTAGTATCCAGGAAATTTTAGTTCTACTGATTCTGCCTCTGTCACTACTAGCTTTGGAAAGAAAACCAGAGTAAGAACTATCCCTTCGTGTTTGGAGAAGAGGCAGTTGATTTTGAAAGTTCAGAGCATCTAAGACAGGAAGTTGTTAGGGGCAGGTAGTGAGGAGCTGCTGCAAGGCTGAAAGTACCCGTTGGGTAGAAAAGCTGTAGAGACTCTGCCGGCAGTCAGTTGTTTTTCTGACAATATCCGCTTATGGATAGAGGAGTGAATGTTTTGACTAGGAAAATGTATGTAACTCAAACTCATTGCAACTCACAGAGATCCACTTGCCTCTGCCTCCCCAGTGCTGGGATTAAAGGCGTGTGCTACCAACGCCTGGCTCACAATGATTATAGATGAGAACTTTGGTAGCTTAAATATAGGGAAAAACTGATAAAATCGTAAACTCAGTCTCTTTTATTTTATAAGGTAACAATAATGAGAGCATACTTTAAATTGCAAAACAAATAAAAAACTAAAGAATCTAAGTTGTCTTTTTAATTGATGAAAGATTAAATATGGCAATCTTAATATGAACAAAATATTTTATATAGTATTACAAATGAAATAATTCCACCATGGTAAAAACACATGAGAAGAATATGCCACCAACTTTATAAGATACTTGGTTAAATAAATGGCTACAGCATTCTCATCATTCATCTATCACCTTTCTAATTAATTTATTTTTAAAATATTTCCTTTCTAATTTGATTGCCTAATCTTGCTACAATTTCTTCATCTTGGCTGTTCTAGATTCTGGTATGATATCACTTCCTTTCACTTTAGACTATTTTCTCTCTTTCCTCTGCCTGCTGCTGATGCTGATGCTCTGGCATGTTCCAAAGACAACTTTTGCATGCGTGGGCTGTCTAACTTTTATCCTGATTTAACGAAACGGATCCGTACTTCCTATCAGAGTAAGTTCTATAAAGATTAGGCAAATAGTTTTTTTTTTAAAGTCATAATGCTTGAGTTAAATCCATTCATGAGTGCTTAGTAATGTGTTTTTCATAAAACACATTCAACATGCATGCAAATTTTTTGTTATGGAAATGCGATCTGATGTTTTAATTTTCATAATTTTTATTTCAACATTTCAAATCATTATTGTCATGTACCCACTCACTCACTCTTTGTTTCAGTGTACATTTCAAACCATGTCCTATTAGTCCAGTAGTCATTGTGTTTCCTTTTTAAGGAGGAAGAGTTGTGGTATTCTTAGAAATTATGAACCTGACATACTATGTTGATAACAATTTAGTGCTTTCTTATTTTGTCAGTGTTGTGATTTTGACCATTGTGCAACTTTATTCTAAGTAGAATGAAAATAATATTTTATAGTTCTTGGAGATAACTATATATTGCTAATTTATGATGCCTTTTATTAAAATAGAATACCCTCAAACACAGTTCAATGGTGATTTTAGGCACCAAACTCTGTGACATAGAGGAATTAAAGTCATAACTAAAAGGTGAATAATATTAACAATTCCTATGGTAGCAAATGAAAATGTTGTAAAGATGGGTGAAATGAGAAATTCTAAACATTGGTACAGAAAGCGTGAGGGTGTGAGTCACTAAAATAACAATACGAATAATACTGTAAGTAGTTACTGCTATGAAGAATGTTTATATTATGCTAATAAATTTGTGAAAATCAGGTCGATTGCCAAAATATACAATATACATTATAGTTTCATAAAATATGCATCCATGCATATAAGCACTCACACATTTGAACTTGTATATTCTTGTAACCTGAATTTCTTCAGACACCCTGTTGCTAATTAAAGCGTAGCCCATTATAAAACTTTACAAATTTCATGTTCCTGGAAGGAAGCTGTTTCCTGTGGGTCCTTTCAATCTCCCAGGAGTGCCCAGTGTGACTTGCTTTTGCTCATGCTCTCTACCTTTCTATTCTACCAGTCACCCCTTTGGAGATACTGCCCACTGTCTCTGCTCCAGGTGACTTGCGTCACTTTTGACATCTGTCTTGGATTCTACTACTCATAAAGCAGGAAGGGATACTAGAATGTTTCTTGACATTTTGAAATTATGTGAAGTCCAATTTCCATAGTAATTTTTATTGGAACATAGCTATACTCCTTCACTCACATGTTTTGAATGGCTGATTTTTACATTTCAGTGGCAAGAATGAGTAATCAAAAAATCATATGGCCCACAAAGCTGTCTCTGTGTACATTTTTTTAAAGTCTACTGATCCCTACTCTAAACCAGTTTTTTACACCTATCCTCTACAACCACATAATTTGCAACTTTCCTTCAGTAGTTCCCAGTATGAATTGAATACTATTTTAGCCTCCCAAAATATTCAAGAATAGGAGATTCGTGTTTTACCAGGTTCTCATAGATTTACTTCCTGATGTTTTCTATAATAAACATGTGATGCTATTATGATAACTGGAGCCCAGAGAACAAATGCTGGCTCTGAGCTTGTCAGAATTAATGAACACCAGCCATACAGAAAGTGTTAGGAAACTGAAAATTGCTATAGGTTTTTATATTCCCCCATGAAAATAAGGTTTAAGCTTTTAAGCTTATATTACAAAATGCCATGCCCTTTCTTCTTGTCTACAAAAATATGCTGCTTAACCCAACTATTTTCCTACTCTTGTGATTTACTCTCTATAAATACCCTGCTCATTTCATTTCCTATAATAAAACTTTTGTATTGCCATAAGCCCTCTTGTGCCAATTTCTTTAATTAAGTGCCTATGATTTACAAGCTTGTACACAATATGTCTGTATTGTTTCAATTCATTTATATAGCTATGTATTTTATACTTGTATGCTACATCAGAAGAATCTGAAAACCATATTAGTTACTTTTTAATTTAAATTCAACAGATGAAAATTCAAACTTGAAAAAACTACATTCTTTATGTCCTTTACATCCAGGACAAGTTCTGAGCTTAGCAAATAAATGATGCTGGAGTAAGATAGAGTATGACAGAAAGCTGTCTTGTTGTCATGAACAGTTGGGGGACTTCTCATATTGGATAAATAGGAGAGCTAACTCTTGTCAATACTGGAGTAGATGAAATTTTGAAATAATTATCAGATTTTTTCTAACCAGAGACCTATGTAAAAGAGAAGTAAAATTGGGTTCTTACAATATAGAACTTAAATAAGTCTATTCAAGAAGGAAATATGTAAGTGAAGCTTTGCAAGATAACAAGGAAGCAGTCAGAGCTCCTGGTTTCCAGTTCCAAACAAGCTAGAGTCAGAGCACTAGAATGGATTTACTGCTAGAAATAACCAAAGCCAATATTTTTAAATGAAAAATTAAGGAAACAGTGGTTTATTTTTTTTAAAATATGACAAAGTGATGTTAAAAGGTTATCTCTGGCAGAGGGTAGCAGAGGAGGTGAACCTGAAACAGACTTCCATGTGCTAATGGTTTCTAGACTATAGCAAAAGGAAGGGAGGTCCATGTGGAAGCCAAGTGACCCCTTATCTAAGAATAAGCAGGTGAAAAACCTGAAAAGCCAGGGCTAAGTCACATCACTTTCAAAGCTCATGGCTTTGAAAGTGTAAACAAATGGATCAGTATTTGGATTGGATAAACTGTTAAAAGGAATTTTTATTCTCATTTTAAAGAAAATATGTCATAAAGTTATGTGAACATGAAATTCAGAAAGAGATTTTCAATAAGGGAGAAGGGGAGATACTAAAAGAACAAAATTCTTAGGAAGGTGAGGCAAAGGGAATCAGCACATGTGCCTAGATTGGCATTATTATACTATACAGGGCCACATAAATACTATATGACAGCATTGTGGTGACATATCTGTTTTTTCAATGAAATGAAAAGATACTTATAAAATAACTCTAAATATAAAATATGAATATGAAACATATTGTTACATTAGGAATAATCATAAGAGGGAGAAAAATTAGTCAAAACTGTATCTATCAGTCAATTTCCTATATTTTCCAAATTTTCTATGAGAACAAAACACCATTTCCATAGTCAGAAAATTGTGTATTTCAAAATAACTATTATTTTAGTAGTAATAATAATCTTCACTATGAGTTTGGGATACATTGTAACTTGACACATAGGAATAGTTTTACCATTAAGTCCATTTTGATCACCACTGATGGTGAAAAAGCTAGACAAACAACAGGTTCAGTAAGCAATACAGAAATAGGTAAATGAAGCTTGGCTGTGTGTGTGCTCCTGCATGTGTAAGTGCTCAGACGTGGAGGTGCACGTTCATATGTCTATGTGTACATAGGGAGCCAGTGGTCCATCTCAAGTGCCATTCTTCAGGGATAATCCGCATTGTTTGTTGACGCAGTCAGTCTCCAGCACTGAGATTGCAATGATGTGCCACCATACCTGGCTTTTTTACATTGGTTCTGAGGATCATACGTAGGTCCCTATGCTTATGTGACAGTCACTTTACAGAATAATCTGTCTTTCAGACTTAAACCTATGTTTCTAATTTCCAGATTTTTTAAAAATTAAATTTATTTACTTATTTTATGTGCATTAGTGTTTTGCCTTCATGTATGTCTGTGTAAGGGTGTTGGGTCCTCAGAACTGGGGCTAGACAGTTGTGAACCATCATGTAGTGCTGAGAATTAAACACATGACCTCTGGAAGAGCAATTAGTGCTTTTAATCACTCAGCCTTCTCTCCAGCCCCTAATTTCCAGTTTTTTTTAATTTTATTTTTTTGTGAAATGTCCTAACATGTACTCCATACTTCTTACCTACTAATGATATTGTAATTACCCAGTTTCATCTCTCCTACCTCCTAATAGCTGGGAAATATATGAAATGGCCTCTCTTCTTATCAGTATAATAAGAGTAAGAATAGAAATTTTCTCATGGTATTGTTAGATGCAAAAGAAATAACATATAAATTACCTAGCAGTGTACTAAGTACAAAATATTACATGTAAGAAGCATCTGGGCAGTAGGCATTCATAATTTTGATCATTCAAAGTCAGCCAAAGTTATCCAAGTCTCTCTAAAGCTGCAGAACTTTTCCAGCCACACACATCACTCACAAATCATAATGCTTTTTTCTATTATCTATCTGTTGTCCCAAATTACTTTCCTTAATATTTCTAGTTTATGTAGTCTCTTCCTTTTCATATCCTGCTATATCTAGTTGAATGTCATATAACAAAGCTGGTTCAAGTGAATAATTCAAGAACTATCTAAATTAAGGTCATAGTGCATCTGTAAGTTATTATTCATTACTTATTTAGTAACAAATAATGATAAACTTCCTTTTATCCACTTTTACCTCTAGGGAAAAAAATGTGTTCAAGATCACTTAAATTAATTACTGTTTACTTTCAGGTTAATAATAATGCTTATATCAATAAATATCATGAGTATATAATTGCTGAGAATAGAAATGTAAACATTGGATAATCTTATTAAGTTAAAAAAAAATCTTGAAATTTTCCAAAGAAATCTCAAAACTCCCTGAGAATATGATGGAACAGAATGATTCCTGTGACCTTAAATTTTTTTCCTTTTTTTATTTTTATATTTCTTTTTTTTTATTTGAATTAGAAGCAAGATTGTTTTACCTGTCAATCCCAGTTCCCACTCCCTCCTCTCTTCCCCTTCCACCCCTCCCCCAACTAAAGCCCTCCCTATCACATATCCTTTCTGCTCCCCAGGGAGGGTGAGGTCTTCCTTAGGGGGTCATCAGAGTCTATCATATCCTTTGAAATAGGGCCTAGGCCCAGCCCCATGTGTCTTGGCTCAGGGAGTATCCCTCTATGTAGACTGGGCTTCCAAAGTCCACACCTATGCTAGGGATAAGTACTGAACTACTACAGGAGGTCCCATAGATTTCCAAGGTCTCCTCACTGAAACCCACATTCCTGGGGTCTGGATCAGTCCCATGCTTGTATCCCAGCTATCAGTCTGGGGACCAAGGTGACCTTAAATTTTTACCCTACCATTTGTATGTTTAGAAACACAAAAACTTATGATTGTGTCAAAGTGCCAATAGTACAGTAACATACTGTAAAAGTATGCAGACAAGGAGAAGTAGCTCATATGTACTAATATTTTAAAGGCTATAAGACCCAGATTTGTATATGTACACCGTGTAATGTGTGTACAATGACAGGATCTTCTGGGGATATGTTTCTCAGAACATACTCTGCCTATAAATGATGAATGACTATAGTTGTTTCTGTTTAAATTCTACCATTGATTTACTTCTGTGAATATATTTATTCAAAAAATATTATGCCTTCACCTCTTTGATACTACAGTATCTCATTTATGAACATAGGGATTAAGCCACATTTTCATAATATGACATTACATTTTCAGTTTGCAAATTTTACGAGGATTTTTTTCTGTTCTAAACTAGTTTCTTTTCTGTTGCTGTGATAAAATATGCTGACAAAAACAACTTGATAGAGTTCATTTTGGTTCACAGTTCAACAGCTATGCAGGTCATTGTGGCAGGGAAGGTGTGGCAGCAGGGGCATGAGGCTAACCAGGGGCCAGGCTATAAAACCTCCAGACTCTCCCCCATGGACACACTTCCTTCTGTGAGATTCCACCTACTAAAGATTCTCTAACCTTCCCACACAGCAGTACCAGCTGGGACCAAATAGTCAGGGCAAGAGCCTATGGGAGACATTTTACATTTCAGCCCTAAAATTCTGTCCTTGGCCTCCATATATGTCCATGGTCATCTCATGATGCAAATGCATTTAATATAACTTGGAAAATCCTCAGTCTTTAATAGCTATATTAAAGACCTTTAAAAGGTGGTTTAACGGTCTCTTCTTAGATTCAAGGCAGTCTCTGAAGTGCCACCCCCTATAAAATAAGAAACAAATTCATTCTTCTAATTTAACAATGGTACAGAGCATACATTCCCATTCCAAATGGAGGAATGAGAACATAGGAAGGATGTATTTGTCCAAAGTAAAACCAAACCCCAACAGGAAAACAAAAATCCTGGAAATTCATGTTCAGTATCTAGAGCTTCAGTTTCTTAGGGCTTAGGTGGCTCCACCCCTCCAATGTGCTTCCTGCCGTGTGATCTGTCTCCAAGGCAGTTTGTACTTCCTGTATGCAGCCCTCCTTGGCAGGTGTCCCTTGACGCTGGGCTATCCAACATCTTTAGGTCTCCATCACTCCATCATAACTCAGGCTTAATCTTCACACAATCGCCCCTGAAGGCCTTCATGTAGGTCCAACCCTGTCACACATTGCCTAACCTCGAAGGTTGAAACCATGGAAGGCAAATCCATGATCTCCTCAATCTTGTATTTCTCATGCCCCTAAAACCAGTACCACATGAATAACACTGCTAAGTTCTGCTTCCAGCTAGAATAGAGCATGGTCCCTTTGGAACACAGTTAAAATAGTCTCTTGTAGACAGCGTTTCTGTTCTGCCTGGTTGTGTAGCTATTTAGTCCCAAATAAATACAGAGAGGCTTTTATTATAAACTGCTTGGTCGATGGCTCAGGTTTTTTTATTGACAAGTTATCTCTTAGTTATTAACCCATATCTATTAATCTATGTATTTCCACATGGTCTTGGGCTTACCAGTGATGCCTGGTCCCATTTCTTCCTTGGCAGCTACATGGAGTCTCCCTGGTAGCCTCTCTCTGCATCCTCTTCCCAGAATTCTCCTTGTCTGGTAGCCCCACCTATACTCCTACCTGGCTACTGGACAATCAGTGTTTTATTCATCAACCAATAAGAGAAACGTGTATTAACAGCATACAGAAGGACATCCCCCATCAGTGTTTGTATGCCACAGCTATAAAACAAAACAAAACAAAAAATCTCGAGAGCAGTGGTTCTCAACTTCCCTAATGTTACAACCCTTTCATACAGTTCCTCATGTTGTGGTGACCCCAACCATAAAATTGTTTTCATTGCTACTTGATGACCCTAGCTTGCTACAGTTATGAACCATAATGTAAATATCTGATATGTGACCCCCTGAAAAGGTTGTTCAATTCCCAAAGAGATTGTGGCCCACAGGTTGAGAATCACTGCTCTAGCGGCTGACCTTCCAGAATCAGGAAATCCCTTGTGCTCTCTCCTATCACAAACTGGAGTCTTTAGTGGATGAGGGCTTACCCTCAAAATACCTTTCCTGGGGCTGGAGAGATGTCTCAGAGGTTAAGAGCACTAACTGCTCTTCCAGAGGTCTTGAGTTCAATTCCCAGCAACCACATGGTAGCTCACAGCCATCTGTTATGAGATCTGGTGCCCTCTTCTGGTGTGCAGATATACATGGAAGCAGAATGTTGCATACATAATAAATAAATAAAATCTTTTTAAAAAGTGCCTTTCCTGTTTTTCCAGTGAAGAACAGGTGGCTTTTCTTTAATGACACTAATCCCTTTAACAACTTCCTAGTGTTCTTTTCTTCTCCAAACTGCACTTTTCATATCTTTCTGACCTACTTGTTCTTTTTCATTGTAGACATGTGTAAGTGTAATCATTCATAGCAAATGGCACAAACTAAATGTTACATTGTCTTAAAATCTCCTCTACTGAGACAGTCTATTACTTTTTAATGCAGCCTCATGCAAATTCTCTGGACATGGGCAGAGTGTATTCAATTCTCTGATCAAAACACACAAATGCCCCTAACCCAGTTCTTGATAGAGTCCTTGTTTCTCATGAGCTTGGCCTCCATTGTGTGTTTCTCTCAGCACTCCTATCTTCCAAGTTCCTACTAGGACAGCCCCATTAAGCTCTATGTATAGCATTCAGCTGCTTTTCCAGCTCAAATTTCCAAAATCGTCCACATTCCTCCCACAAAACAAAGGCCTAAGAAGCACATGACCAGGATTGACACAGCAATTGCACCATCTCTTGGTACTAATTTATTTTCTGTTGCCGTGATACCCTGATAAACGCAACTTGAGAGAAGAAGGGTTTGTATTGACTTGGAGTTGGAAAGGGCCTGCAGTCCATTATGGCAAGGCATGGTAGCAGAGCCCTGAGGCTATGCAGAAGTGAAGAGCAGAGAGAGAACAAGAAAGAAGACAGGTTATAGAATCTCAAAAGTCCTCCTACAGTGATGTAATTCCTGTAGCAAAGCTCCACCTCCTAAAGGCTCTATAACCTTCCCCAACAGTGCCACCAGTTGAGACGAATATTCAGACACATAGGCCTATGGGAAACATTTCACATTCCAACCACAGTAGCACTTCTGGCGTTTGTTCCACAAATAGCATACACAAAAGGTTATAAGGAGGAATAGGAACAAAGACGAATTTCATCATTCACAGTACCACTCAAATACTTCTGGGTTTGGAGACACTGATAAGTACAAACTGAATAGTTATGAACAAATAAAAAAGTACATGAGGTTTTCCACCAAGAATAGGAAACTATGATGAAGGCTATTTTATAAGTGTTATAGGAATACAGAGTTGCAGATGATGAGAACAGCAAAACATATATCAATCTGTCCTGACTTATCCTTGAATTTGTCCAGAAGTGATAAAATGGAAAGAAATACTAGAAGGAAGAGAATGATGTAGTGTCTGTTGTAACTTGATGACACTGAAAAGTAACTTGTGTATATAAAACACTAAAAACAATCATAAAAATTTTAAATCTGTAGTATCTCTTAAAAGATCTTTTAAAATAAATAACCTCCTGAAGTAGAAGATTGTATTATGTCTTTTTAAAGCACTTTGTATTTCCTATTATTCTTGGTATTTTTGCTAAGGAATTTGATCATTTATTAAAGTAGTTAAGTGTAAATAATAAAAAGATTTTTGTCTTTACACCATCCATGTTTAAATACTCTTTGTATATCAGTAAGTTGTTATCTTTTATTTATTCCTGTATCACAGATGTTTCAAAATAATTAATGTGAATACCTATGTATTAATGTAAATTAATATGAATTACCTATGAAGTGTCAGCAAAATTTATCTCTTTTCTCCCTCTCTCTCTTCATTCCCCACCATTATATTTTTAGGCTTAACAGAGCTGAATGACAGTCCAGTTCCCCTGGAACTTGAGCGCTGCAAGTCTCCCACTTCAGGTAAAAATAGTGGTATTTTTCAAGCTTCTGGTAATTACTATAGTAAATTGTTGACATATTTTCATAATTCTTTTAAAATTAGTAGTTAATTCAGTTTCTGAAATTGAATCATAAGTAGCTTTGTTTCCAAAATAAATACAAAAGAATGTCTTTTAAAATGTTCTTGGCCCAAAATAAAAATAAGATGAGAAATATGAATGTAATACTTTAAGATATTTCATAAAGAAAGATCATTTTTCATATATGGTAAAAGTACCTAGATACAGAGCAGATACATGCTGTTTTTATTACTATAGCTCTGTAGTACAGTTTGAGATTGGAGCCGATGATACCCCCAGCAGTTCTTTTATTATTAAGGATTGTGTTAGCTATTCTAGGTTTTTTGTGTTCTCATGTGAAGCTGAAAGTTGTTGTTTCAGGTTCTGTGAAGAATTATGTTGAAATTTTGAAGGGATTGCATTGAATATGCAGATTGCTTTTGGTGGGATGGCCATTTTCACTATATTAATCCTACCAACCCATCTTCTGATGTCCTCTTTGATTTCTTCATTTAATATCTTAAGGTTTTTACCATACAAGTCTTTCATTTACTTGATTAGAGATATCCCAAGATATTTGAGGCTATTGCAAAAGGTATTATTTCCCTGATTTCATTCTCAGTCCATTTGCAATTGGTATATAGGATTACTACTGACTTTTGTGAGTTAATATTCTATCAGCTACTTTGCTGAAAGTGTTGATCATCTGTAAGAGTTTCCAGGTAGAGTTTTTAGGGTCCTTATATCTTTGATCTCTCCAGGACTTTTAACATGAAAGGGGATTGAATTTTTTCAAAGGCATTTTCTATATCTAGTGAAATGATCGTGTGTGGTTTTTTCATTTCAGTTTGTTTATATGTTGTATTACATTGATCATTTTACCTATGTTGAACCATCCCTGCATCTCTGGGATGAAGCCTACTTGATTATGGTGCATGGACTTTTTTGTTGTATTTCTGGATTCAGTTTGGAAGTATTTTGTTGAGGATATTTTAGGATTATTTGGGGGTTTTGTTGTTTAATTTTTTTATTCTTCTCTCACATATTACTTCTCAACCTCAGTTTCCTCTCCCTCTACTCCTCCCAGCGCCCACCACCCACCACCTCTCTCTCTCCCAGATTCATTACTTCTCCATTTCATTTCAGAAAAGAGCAGTCCTCTCAGGGTTAATAAGACTGTGGACAAACCCTATCAAGGCTGGATGAAGCAGCCTAGTAGGAGGAAAAGGGGTCCTAAGAGCAGGCAAAAGAGTCAGAGACACCCACACTCCCACTTTCCAGAGTCCCACAAAAACATCCATGCTACACAACTATAACACATTTGCAGAAGACCATACAGGTTCCCTTATTATCACTTTAGTATCTGTGGACCCCTATGAGCCCTGCTTAGTTGATTCTGTGGGCCATGTTCTCATGGTGTCCTTGACCCCTCTGGTTACTACAGTCCTCCCTCTCTGTCTTCCATGGAATTCCCTGAGCTCCATCTAATGTTTGACTGTTGGTCTCTACACCTGCTTCCATTGGTTCCTGGATGAAGGTTCTCTGGTGACAATTGGGCTAGGCTTCAGTTTATGGGTATAGCAGAACATCAACAGGAATCATTTCATTGGCTTTTTTTGCCAGTTATGTTTGGTACTATCCTGGGTCTCTGGTTCCTGGCCCTCTAGGCAATATCAAACATGGGCTGCCTTTCATGACACAGGCCTCAAGTTAGACCAGTCATTGTGTCTATGTTTAAAAGGGGAAATAATCTGTAATTCTCTTCCTTTGTTGGGTTTTTTATGTGGTTTTGGTATCTGGGTAAGTCTCAGCTCATGAAGTGAACTGGGTGATGTTCCTTCCGTTTTTTTTTTTTTTTTTTTTTTTTTTTTTTTTTTTTTTTTTGTGTGTGTGTGTGTGTGTAATAATTTGAGGAGTATTGGCATTAACTCTACTTTGAAAGTCTTGTAGAATTCTGCACTAAAACCATCTGACTTTGGGTTTTTGGAGTGGTGGTAAACTTTTAATGATGGCTTCTATTTTACTAGGGGTTATATGTCTGTTTAAATTGCTTTTGTGATCTTGATGTAACTTTGTTAAGTGGTATGTGTCAAGAAATATATCCACTTCATTTAGATTTTCCAATTTGGTAGAGTACAGGTTTATTTTTTATTTTATTTTATTAGTTCTAGTTAGGGAACAAGCTTATT